CCTCTATTTCCTTTACACATTTTTTTGGTCAAAAAAATGCAATATTTGTTCACATTTTGCCATGAAATAGTGAATAATACCTAACGAAGCACTTTTTATGATTCTCAAAATTCTAAAAACCAAATCTCACAAGAGCACTGAAAACGACCGTTAAAAGTAATCTGTCATGCACATTAGTATTAATGCATTAGTATTAATGTACATCAAATAACATAATTAAAATGCCTATTGTCTTCAACGGAACTTAGCAATGGAACTGTGAGTTGACAAACGAAATGGATGGATAACCCCATGAAATGATAGGAGACATCAAGTGTTTTGATTAAGAAAAGCCTTTTCGTCGCCAAAAATATACTTCCATTTTATTATATATCACTTCATCAGCAATTTAATAATAGTGACAAATAATTGGAAGTTATCCATGCATGGAATGTAAGTTGTTTGCTTGTCACATATGCATTAATAATGAAAAGGCTTTTTAGTAAGATGCAAGTACACACAAGTAGAAAAGGAGGATTTTATTCACTAAGATAAGAGAAATAATTAAGAAATCATAAAGGAACAATACTAATACGCATATAAGGCAATAAAATGATTAAGAAAAGCAACAATACAATAAGGAAAACTGAATTTAACTTATAGAAAATACAAACAAAATAGGAATGAGTAATTTCGGTTTAAAATGCGTCTATCAGTTCATTCAAGACGCAATTCATCATGCGTTTTTCCCAATTAGATTCCGTCAGAAAAGCCTTGCTGCATACGGGGCAGTTGAATCAGCGCCTATCATTGTTATGAATCTTCATGTGACGTTTCATATTACTTTTTTGCGAGAATGTTTTATTGCACACAGAACAAGCGTGCGGTTCTTCATTAATGTGAATACTCCAATGCTCAAGCCGATTCGATAAAATGGTGAAATACATCCCACATTTCGAACAACTGTGCGGTTTCTCATCGGCATGAATGCTCATATGTTTAAGCAAATTCCCCTTCTCGGTGAAATTCCTCGCGCATTCCGGACAAGAAAATGGCTTCTCAGCGGTATGAATCCTCATATGTTTATGCAAACTCCCTTTCTCGGTGAAATTCATCCCACACTTTGAACAACTGTACGGTTTCTCACCGGTATGAATCCTCATATGTTTATGCAAATTCCCTTTCTGGGTGAAATTCATCCCACACTTTGAACAACTGTATAAATTGAAACGAAACGGAATAAAACTGTGCAAAAACTGTCGCGACAGCTTTGCATAAATTAATTATTTTCCACTAATAATGTAGCAGCCGAAATAAAATTAATCAGTATAAAGGAAACAGTCAGTGACGTTGGTTGTTGTCAATGACTAATCCGATTTTACCATCAATTTTTTCCATTTCAGTGCTTCAAATTTTTGATTGTGTTATGTTTGAAGACTAATCGACTGATTCATTTGGCAGCTGCCTTCATCACATTATATGTTATTAAAGAAGAATGTTGCAAAACTAAGCTTTAGGATTTATATGGATTAAAGAAAGATTTCATAATATTATTTAGCATATACAAATCAATAGCGTTAATTACAAGTGATAAAGCAATGCAGTTTTTCCCTCTCATTAATACAGCTTCAATTTTGGAGGTTTCGAAACTGAAACGATACGAAACAAAATTGTGTAAAAAATGTCGCGGGAGATTTGCATAAATTATTTTTCACAATGCAATATGGTAGTTGCAATGAAATCATTCACTGTAAAGGTTTAAACATATAAAGGATTAAACAGTGATATTATTACATTATTACACGTGGACATAAGTTATCGACACACGCAGCTAGCCACTCCCATCAAAATTAGTATTTATACATGCGATCTTCCACCGATACCTAACGCGACTGATTGGATGGTATTTGCTAGACTGTCTTCCCTTAAATTTTGTTTAACTGAGTTTTATTTCATTTATTTCGACAAACAATGTCAGTTACTCTTCAAAGTTTTGGTTACGAAATTTTAGGACTCCACGATTAATGTATAAATAAATCTGCGAAAAATATAAATAATATATAAACAATATCTGCCCCAATCTCTAGTATGAATTAATTCATTGTGTTTGAGGAAACAATAAAAATAATGCAAGTAATGAATGCGCACCAATTTCATTTTCAGCGCTAATATATTTAGGAAAGTATGTACTCGATGTCAAAG